TAGTTTTTGAGAAATATTTGTTTTTCTCCTGTTTAACGGTCTGATAGGCTTTCCAACATGATTTTAACATCTCAAAAGACACCTGAAGTTTATCTTTTTTCCATCGATGTTCAGCTCTTCTGCACAAGCGTCTTGCCTCTCGTGTAATCTCATTTACCCAAGGGTGGGGCGTGCATTTTCGATTCTTGAGCTTTAACGGGGCGACTGAGTCCAGGATCTGTACACGCGCCTCCTGATGCTGAGAAAGCAACTCCTTTGTAGTAAGACCCACAGAGAGTTCAGAGTCTGAAACAGAATTACCAGCAAAGATGGAAGAGAAGAGTGCGGCGGTGGAAGGGTTAAAAATCCTACAGGGCTTGGGTGTGGGGGGAGGTGCAGGTTCACAAATCAATGAGGTGTTGAATAAAACCGGTTTGTGGTCGGAACAAACAGTGTCACCAATTTCTAAATCAGAAACAGACAAACCATGTGTTAAAACTAAGTCTAGAGTGTGGTCCTGCTGGTGAGTCGGACCAACAACACTCTGAACAAAGTTAAAGGACTGGATGAGGTCTAGAAAGTCCTGAGCTAATGGTTTATCAGGGCAGCACAGTTGGATATTAAAATCTCCTAAAATTAAAACCCGATCATATTGGAGCAGAACACCAGTTAGAAAGTCAGAGAGTTCGTTTAAAAACTGTTTATGGTATCTGGGGGGGGGGGGGGGGGGGCTGTAAAAAATAGCACATAAAACTGGGTTGGAGCGGCCCAGCTCACAACAGAGCAGTTCAAAACTCGAATAATTAGCTGAACCATGGAGCTGTCTGCAGTGCAAATGTTTCTTAAAAACAGCCAATAATCCTCCACCACGACCAGTTGTCCTTGGAGCATTGAAAAACGAACAATCCGGAGGCAGTAATTCCAGAAAAACACTGAACTCACCAGGGCAGATCCAAGTCTCAGTGATGAAAAGACAGTCCAGTCGGTTGCAGCAGAAAAAGTCGTTCAAAATAAAAGTTTTATTACCCAGCGATCTGGCATTTATCAGGGCCATCCTCGTAGAATCCACCACAGGAGGAGATGATTGCAGTGTCCAGTCCAGCGGCCTCAGGTTTTCAGAGTTAGACGTGCGCCTCCGGCAGGAAACCCAGCTGCGCACGGGCCCAGTGTGATGATGGGACCCCGACAGCGGGACCAGACAGCGCGCCACAGGATCTGTACAGCGCCAGGAGCAGAGGTGGAAATGTTGACCATCAGCTGGAGAGGATGTTTCAGAGGCAGCAAGCAGGGCTTTCAGTTTCACCAGCCGGCCAGCGCGTTTTCCACGGCGTCTGGAGCGACGTCTCCGGGGAGGCAGGTGCGCGCCTCGCTGCAGGTAAGCAGGCACGTCCGCCAGCAGCGGGGGGACGGGGGGGGGGGTCCAGAGTTACGCTCATAATGATCAAAATAAGCAACATTGGTCCCACAAAGTCGAAGATCCAAAAGTTGTTTTCGTTCATACACCAGCAGAGTTGATGTCACAGATGAGAAATGAAAAAAACACCAAAAATACGAACACCATCAGCAGAGGTGGATTGCAAGCCATGTACACAGGCGCCATCTTACCGGAAAAATAAATAAATTGAACAGTAATTGAAAAGCTTTCTTTTAGTAGGTGTCAGTGATTGATTTGAATAACTGATTTCATCCATTCTCTTAACCCGCTTGCTCCCAATCAGTTTGTGGAAAGCCTCTGACGTTCATGGACACCCAGGGCAGGTCACTGTCCCTCACAAGGCCTCAGAGACAAACGAGTCAGAGAACCGTTCACACTCTCATTCGCACCACATTAAAGAATACACAATAGCCTAGAACAGCCGTGTTTGGTTTGTGGGAGGAGACCGAAACCCACACTGTAAGGTTCTGCAGAGCTCTGCGAATGGACTACTGGCATAGATAAAGATGGACAAAGTGACTCCTTTAACCTTCCACTGTTCATATTGAAGCCAAAATATCAGTTTTTAAATAGTGCTGTGTTGTATTTTGGCAGTCAGCTGAGGCTGCACCTTAAACACGCAGGTCCTGTCTGCACATCCTCCCAACTCTCCAAACAGGCTGTCACATTGTAACATGGCACTTTGTAGGCCTCATAAAACTGAAATTACAAACAGAAGCAAGGTAATAACTCCATGAATGAACAAAAATCAAGTTCAAGTCAACTTTATTGTCATTCACATCACATGTGGTACATGAGGTGGAACAAAATTATGTACACAGGTTCCAAGTTACACCCCAAAATAGCAAAATATATAAAAAAAAAAAAACAGTAAATAAGTATCTAAGATATACACTAAACTAACGCTAAACGGTACTTGATAGATCAACACCTGAAAAAAAGAAAGATCAGAAATGTTTGTTTTTTTTAGTCAGGAAAATGTCTCAGACCTAAAAAGTTAACTGCAGCCGGCCACTAGGGGGCGCTTAATCTTTGATTCTTCATCTTCCAGGTTCTGGTCCTATCTCTAGTTGTATCATCTTTATAACGATGGCGTACTATATAAAAATAAACATCACATATGCTTTCTTTAGATACTATGATACATTTATGAACACTACAGTACATGTTGGACTGAACTAAATGCCATTGATCTGGATTTGAGTAACACATATAAAATTCATAAAACGTACATGAATTTGATTAGTTAGAGTAGAATTGACTTGAATTGGGAAAAAAGAAAGTACGCTCAATCATCCATATCAATAAATAACAAAAAAGTTAAGTCATGTAACAATAAAGTCTTTCGGATGAAAGACAAAACATTTCTTCCAAAAATAATCTGACGAGATGACATAATTTAACTTTTTGGTGATTTGAATTATTATTTTTTTCTTCTAAAATACCCTGGGCAGACTTTTGCTGTAAATTGGTATTATATATAATTAACCAAACCAAACAAAAAAACAAACAAAAAAAACAAATAAATAAAACAGAATTAACATAACACCAAACAAATCATTAGATGATTTATTCAAATTGAAAAAAAAAAAAGATTTCTAAATTTTTACTTAGTTTATTTAAAGAGAATTGTTACCCCCCACCCCCACCCCCAAAAAAGTAAACAACAACAAAACCATCAAGGTCAAGGTTTATTTATTATCATTCACATCATGAATGCTGGTGCAAAGAGAACAACCTTCACATCAACGTGAAGAAGATTTGAACTAAGAAATATGCTAAACTAAGAACACACTAAACACCAGTAGTACAGAGACCATATGCAGAACAAACGCAGCAGGAACACGAGTGTGAGCAGATAAACACTTTTGTAAACACAAGCTCAGGATAAAGACATTACAGCATAGTGAGAGTTTTACAGCTACTTTAAGGTAATATTTGAAATTTGTAAGTAAATTGAGAAAAACAACTTTATTATCTTAATTGTTAATTATCAATCAGAGTAAATCTTTAATCGATTTCTTTAACATACACGTCTGTTTAATCAACACGTTATAGTTTAATACATTTCATCATTCCAGTAGATTTTTATTCACATTTTACCGCATCGTTCTGCTTTTTGTAAAACAGCCTCTCCTCGTGCTCATCGCGGGCCGCCTCCGTGTGGTTCTCTACAGGAAGCGTAATTTTCGACGGTAAGTGAACGCAGCATAGGAGACAGCGCGCCTCGCCGTGCGTGTGCCCGCCGGCAGGGCGCGCGCACGGTGAAGTGGGGGTTGTGCTCGCTCCCTGCTCCTCTCTGCTCTCTGACCCCAGTGGCAGCTCCGACTCACTGCACTCCGGCTCCCCCTCTGACGGACCGGGGCTGCTCCTCTCTCTCCTGCCTGTCTGTCAGCGTCTCTCGCCCGCTCCCCGCCTCCTCGTCTGGCTTTCCTTCCACAGGAGCAGCCTAGCCGAGAGGTCCCGCCGGGTCGAAGGTTCTGCCCTACCCGCGCACATTACCGCAGCACCCCGGACCCTTCACCCCGCTCCGCCGCCGCATGGATCCGTGTCCCTCCGCCGCGTAGAAGAGGGCGACCCCGACCCGACTCTCCTCCCCGGGCCAGAGACACCCCCGCAGGAGAACCAGCCCTCCGCACCACGAAGGTAGAGCAACCTTTCTGTGCTTCGGAAGCCGAAACGGGCGGGAGGAGACAGGAGGCGGGAGGAGAACAGACATTCCTCACACAAAGCGCTCGGTTAAAGGTGGCTTGTCATTTCCGAAGCGGAGCAGGAGGTTACGGCGGAGGTGCTCCGACTCCGACCACCTCACTCCTTTTTTCAGTGTTTCAGAGTTCAGGACAGAACGGAGCGTTAGTGTGGCTGCGAGCGGCGCCTCCGCTGCTCCCCGGGGGTGAAGTCCGCCACCAGGAGCTGCGCTCGTGTCCGAGCTCCGCCGCGGAGGAGGCGGCTGAGCTCCAAGCTGCAGCCTCCGCGAAGCGTGTCTCCTCCGCAGCTTTTAGCAGCTAAAGCTACAGCTAGTTGCAGCTGCTGTAGCCACAAGGCAGACAGACAGGCGAGTTGTCTGTGGCACGCGCCGAGGAGCGCGCGAGGCGTGCTGCGAACTATAACCTCCATTTAAAACTGCTTTTAATGAGCGCCGCGTGCACGTGTCTATAATAATAATAAAAACATTAATAATAAGTCTGTCAGGTTAGAATAATTTTAATAGAATAAATTAATTCTTGTGCAGCAGCACCTGCAACATTCGTGTTTTTGATGTGAACATATTGTGCAAAGCTGATCAGACTTTAATATAAATATAAATAAATGTACAGTTTTTTTTATTCTTAGGCAGAGATTAAACCCACTGACTGAAATTAGCATGAGGGGAAGTAGCATGCACTGACCCAGAAAATATAAATCAATGTTTTGTGTGAAAAGTAGGACAGTTTGAGGAGAAGCTGGTGCTTTCTGTGCACTGTCAGCACGAAGTGAGCAGGAGGTCTGTTAAATTAGGGAGGTTTTATATAAATAGTTTTTTCTCCTGATGTGTGGTTGCATCAGGACCATCTGGTATAAAACGCTCGTCAAACACTTGCCTTGCAGTCAGGAAGGTCAGAGAAGGAAGGAGGTGCAAGGAGGCGTGCAGGAGAGCCAGGTGAGCGATGCCGAACTGCTCAGATTGTCTTCAGCTCCGTGCAGAGATGTCTTCAGATGTTTCTCTCATCTCCTGGAGGAGCACGATGGTTTAATTTTTCATTGTGGCGTGTGGTGGGGAGGCAGACCTGCTGCATGTGCACCCTCTGAACACTTTCTACTTTTACTGAAGGCTGGGCAGCAACGTTTTCACCCGCTCAGACTCGTAGACTAGATTTTTTTAAAAATGGGAAATCAATGTTTTCTTTTTATTCTAATCAACGAACTGTAATTTGATTTTTATATTTGGACCCGTTTGCATCAGAACCAACAGGTTCTCAAGTCGCACATCTTCTAGATTTTGCAGGATCAGCGTTTCTGAGCAGGATTTTCAGACCCGTGTTGGTTTTCCACCATTCTGTTTGAATTTAAAGTGTTTTAAATTAAAGTAGAGTTGTTTAACGCTTGACATGTCAAACTGCGACATATAAAATAACATTTTGTTCACTTTCTACTTATTTAACATGTTTTTATATCTCTTTGTGTGTGAAATATTAGTTTTAGGCACTTTTTAAAAACAAATTGTGACTGTGCATTCAGATAGTGGTTATTTTTTCTTGATGTGTGTGTGTGTGTGTGTGTGTGTGGCAAAGGCTAACGCCTCTTGACCTTGTTCACAAATACTGTTTTATGCCGATGACACTGTTTTCTTCATGTGGCGTACAGCAGCTGATGTGTGTGTGTTCTGCTGCAGTGTGTCGAGGTGGACGTGCTGGGAGGATTCCTGGGCTCTTGAGCGGCTCTGAAGGATGACCGTCGCACGGCTCGCTGCTGAATCCCGGTGATCGAACGGCGTCTCATGTCCAAACGGCGGGAGGATGGCTCATGGCAAAGTGACCATCACGGTGGACGAGTACAGCTCCAACCCCACGCAGGCCTTCACACATTACAATATCAACCAGAGCCGCTTCCAACCTCCACACGTCCACATGTAAGAGCACACACACACACCCCTGCAACACGTCTCCTGCTCAGTACTTCTTGGTAACAACACGTCTGCCTGCTCAGTACTTCTTGGTAACAACACGTCTGCCTGCTCAGTACTTCTTGGTAACTTTTTAGGACACTCCGGTGTCTGACCAGTTGTGCATGAAGTTTTAAACGAATGTCTGAAGCGTTACTCCACACACTCTTCAAACAGTGAGCTGGTGAGACAGAAGCAGGCCCACTGGGCCTCTGGTGCAGACGTCTCCAGTCTTCCTTTTATTCATCAGTCGTTTCATTGTTTTTTATATCAAGAATACAAACAAAATAAAGTAGGGATGCACGATATTATCAGCATGGTATTGGTATCGGACGATATTAGCGATAAAGTTAAATATTGCACATCGACCATTCCATCAAAATAACTCACTGATATAAAAGGCTTCTGTTTTAAGTTAATTTTTAATTTAAGAAACTAACTTTATCTATTAGTGCACTACTACTTATGCACTTTTCACGTGTCGCTTGTGAACAGGTTTGAGTTAGATTTGTGAAAATGTACAAACGTGCACTGTTCGAGAGTTGTTGTGTTAGAGAGAGAAAATGTCATGCATAAATTTGACATTAAACATAATTCAAGTTGAAGTGTTTCATCATTTTCAGCTCCTTTTTGGTGTTTGGTAGCAGCCAAACTGACAACGACCATCAGAATAATGTAGTATTTTAATTCCACAGCAGAGAAAGATATGTACTAGGAATGTGCGATATGGCATAAAATTCATATCACGATATGTATTGTGAAGGGTGGCGATAACGATATATATCACAATATGTTTTTGGTATAAAATTGCAATAGGAATAAAATAAAAAGCATAGGGTGTCCTTTTGCCATCATTTATTTTGAATTAAGAAAATTCCACTACTAGATCCAGAGAGTTTTAAAATAATAAACAAATCAAGTATTAGGCTTCTTTCTTGTGCAAAATAGTGCAAAAGATATCAAATGTAGTTTTAACCATATGTTTTAAACTAAAGAATATGTTGTTAACAGTTTCCAGTCTTAATAAATGAACAGCAACAGAGCAGCATTTTACACTGAAACACTTCACCCTCCAAACCTCTAGAGGGCGCCTCCTCCTGCTTTAATGGAGCGCTGACACAAAATGAGTCTGTGTCTTTGACTCTCGCAGTAAAATCACACAACACAGCGTTCTTTTACAGATCAGAGAGCAGGTTTCTCTAAAGCTGACCAACACTTACTTTAACTTTCAACAGAACACAGCGTTTTGCGCATGTGTCTGAATACGGCAACACTACGGCAAGCCGGCTGTGGTTAGCTTGTAGCTTCGCTACTTAGCTCTAGAAGAAAATACTTTAACACCACTTACGCACAGTTTTCAACAAAAAAAAGTAACGATTAAACTGACACCTCTGATTTTACTTCAGACAGCATTAATGTGGTTAGCCGGTAGAAGACAGATCTCTATCGTAGGCTAAATTTCTATTGTTTCTACCGTGTACCGTTTATATCGCGCATTCCTACCATGCACCGTATTTTCCGCCGTACACATCGCACTGCCATATAAGTAGCATCAGTCCAAAAATGTCTAATAAAGTGGAAAAAAACATAAATAAGTCACTTCGCCATATAAGTCTCATCTATTATGCGTCACCGCTGACAACCCGGAAATGTGGGTCGGTGTTGTGCCAAAAATTGATTGGCTGCCGCGGGAGCGTGCACGGGAGGACTTTAACAAGAATTTAACAAGATTAACACTTAAAAACGTTTATTTGTTTGCTCAACATTATAGTAAAGGTGTGTCTCAGTTGAACTTTTACTTACTAAATGCACTTCAATGGTCAAATCAGCTTCTTTTGTTTGGGGCGGCGCAGCGAAATGAAGTTGATTTGACGGTTGCTCCAGGCGAGTGGGACGAAGGTGGATGTCTATGGTAAGCCGATGGTGTCATTAACAGCCACTTTTACCTATTACATGACACAATGACATGCCATACTACTCGAGTGCCATCTAGCGTCTGAAAATGGTAGTGTTCAGTATTTTCAGTCAGAATGAATGAAAACAGTCGTATCTCAGCCAAAAATTGTTTTATAATATGGGAAAAACCATAAATAAGTTGCTTCAGCGTACAAGTCACAGGGTATGCAAATTATGTAAAAACGCAACTTATAGGCTGAAAAATACGGTAGTCTTTGTAAGTAGGTCTAGGAAAAAAAATTGGTATTGGTTATTGGCCAAAAATCCAATATCTCTAAAAACTGTAACAAAGAAGAAAATCTCCTCCCATGCCGGATCAGCTGTACAGTCACCGACAGCTTCAACATACGACACAAATGGACACCAAGTGTCCCAGAATGTCCCAGCAGGCCCCCTCACCGAGGGCCTAATGATGCATAACTTCTCTCATCCAGCGTTCAGATGCTGGACAGTCGTCCTTTTTAACGGAGTAACTTTTAGACTCAAAATATGTACGGTGGATAAAAAAAGACAAAGTTCAGGAAGGAGCAGAGGCTTTAAAACCTTCAAATACTAACATGTAAGTATTTTATACGCTCTATATGTTGCCACTAGTGAACGCTTTACAGAGCGGGACACGCTTAACGTTAAATCCAAAGCGGTTCTGATTCTGGCGCCTGTCTTCCTGTCCTGTATCTGTTTGCCGTTATGTTTCACACCAGGCTGTTGCTGAGGTGCACGGACACTCGGTCTGCAGCGCAGCCGTCTATTTATTCATTTATCAGGCCGGTTACAGAGCGCCGCTCTCGTCGGATGCTGTTCCGCTCGGCGCGCTCATTAGTGGGTCAGGGGGGCCGCGACCCGCCAGCCCTCGCTCATCATGGCAGCGCCGCGTGTTTTCATCCACTAACTGATATTAACCGTGCGCCCTCGTACACTTCCAGGAGTCCTGAGGTGTCTGTTCAGTGCTCGAGCCATTTCTAAATTGAATGCTCTGGATTAAACTAGCGGGGGCTGAAGCTGTAGAGGAGGAGAGATTAATTCTTGCTTTATTTTAATTCCTGTTTGATTGAGCTCTGTTCTGTTAAGGACAATCTGAAATGCCCAGTGCACGGTATTTGTGACTTTTTCACCATTTCTCTTTAATTCTATGCATCACTGTGGCCACATATAAAACAGATTACCGGTACAGCGCGTCGGATTTAATTTGTAATTATCCATTAAAATGTCCTGAAATGCAAAGGCCTCAGTTGGAGAGATGTAAAAATTGCAAATGTTAAATTATAATTTTTTTAAAGCTTAGTTCAATTCAGTTTATTTCTAAAGCTCCAAGTCACAGTAGAAGTTGTCTCAGGTCACTGAACAGAAACATTCATTTATGTATAAAGTCCATTAGTAACATTATTTATCTGAGGTTAGGGTTATCAAAGATGGCTTCTTTTTTTGCACAGAGCTATAAAGAGTAAAACATGCACATATTTGCAACATTTGATCACAATTAAAATAAAACAAAATGAGACTTCTAACAAAAACTGGAATAAATCAGGAGTTTTAGTTTGATTGTGCGTGTGCTGAAGCTGCAGCACGACCAAGCTGAGCTTAAATTACACCAACTTTTTTAAAAATCACGCCGATGTGGAATGACGTAGACGAAGAGATCAAGAAAATAAAACTATTGCACAATTCAAGAGAAAATACAAGGAGTACAAAATGAATGTGTATAAAAATGAATGAGACAAAATGACGTTATTCCAGCTGCTAATTTGTTAATCCGTGTGTTTGCATTTTAAGCTTTGATCTGTTGGTGATATGAGAGTAAATGTATACCTGCAGGTGTATTGATGCATGTGTATGTAGCTATGCATGCATGTCTGTGTGTAGTTATATATGCATGTATGGGTATTTACACAGTAGTCCCTTGATTATCGCGGGGGTTACGTTCAGACACCACCGCAATAGGTAAAAAATCACAAAGTATGGATGTTATATTTATTTTAGTATATATATTATATATTTTTTTTAAAGGCTTTATAAATCCTTCTCACACTCTTGAAATGCTCTGAACTCTTAAACCTATGTAATTTGAACAACATGTGTACATGTACTGTACAGTACTGCAACATTTTACTCACCGGTGAAGGATGAGTTCAGCTTCAGGATTATTTGTCTTTCCTGACAGTTCTGTGATCTTCATGGATACTTCGTTACTTTGACTTTATGTTTTAAAACTATTTCTACCACATCAGTTTCTCCTCTAGTGTTCGCTCCCTCCATTGCTGTTCTTTGACTTTTGGCAGAGAACAGCGTCCGGACGCACTGTTGGCGTCTGGGCCGTGTAGTTCTTTTGACTTGCATTACTGTGCAGGCTTATTGAAAGAAAACTACAAAATGGCGGCGCCTGTCCGAAGTTTTGTTTTGTTTTCTGTCCTATTGGTTGGTTCCCGCTCCCGTTAACTTTTTATCCCGTACCATCTCAATTACATGAGTAATATTAAAGTTGACAATTGTTGAAAAACCGTGAAAGTCGAAGTGTGAAGTAGTGAAGGACCGCCCGCCCGCCGCACATTGAATCACTAATAGTGTGAACGTTTATGAAGCATTCACTCTGTTGTGATCTCTTTTCTTCTGTGTGCTTTTCCACATCTGTCTTGTTCCACAATTTTCGTACTATTTCAGCCATTACTAACTCAAAACGTTCAGCTCGTTCAGGGCAATCCTGCTGTGACTGTTGGTATTGGAGCAACTTTAGCTTTTTGAAATATTTAGCCTTTTCTGCCATTTTATTTTCTCATAGAAAATGAATTGAGCTCATTTTACATCCTTCATATCTTTAGATGTGTTCACAGCCTTTTACTGCTCCTTTCACATTTGGTTCTGCTCAGCTTCCTTGTGCAAATTTAAGCTTTTTTTCAACTACTTTCCACTAATTTCAGCTGTTTTGTGAGCCTTTTAGATTATTTCTGCTAACTACAACATTTTTGGGCTTCTTCTAAGTTCTTTCTGCTAATTTCAGCTTGTTTTACTCCTTTCAG